TTTCTCGCGTGACTTGACTGGAATCTTATTAATTGTCCTGAAAGAAATATTTTTTGTTACGGGAATCTCAGACCCTAAGTTGCAGAATCTAGTATTCCCGAGTCTTCAGAGTACAGACTTTTTCTGGATTATATAATCACTGTAACAGGATTTTGCGATGGACAGATATGTTATTCGGCGACCCAAAAGTGACGATAAAAACGAAAATACAGTATGTAGTCGAAATTTTTCTCTGAATAGAAACTGATTAAATACTGATATGTCATAAATCCTTTTCTATCTAAAGAATATACATGAAAAAACAAATGAAACTCCATACATAGAAAAAATTTACTTCGCCGGCCCTGGTTGCTTCACTGCGACTTAAATATGCCCAATAAAAGATTCGACGTTGAGTCCATCGAATTCCGGGATTAGATGCATTGCTTTGTCATATGTATTTATTAAAATCTCGGGATTCTCTGTTTGAACAGTCGACATTGCTTCCGGGAATCGCTCTCCGGATGGATTTATTTGCAAATTGTTCATTTGATCTCTAAGCGCTTGCACAGCGTCCGTAACTTTTAACAATTGTTCTGCTAATATATATTTAAAGTAAGCGTTTGTTCGCGAGATGGGCTTTGTGCGCGGAGCAGTTACGAAGACTTTTGATTCCAATATATTAATGCCTGTACTTGAGTTAGAAGAGGTATCGGAAGAAATTGATCTTACCCTTCTGTAATTTGTCCACGCCTGAATATTATCCAGTTTAAATATTGAGTTCGGTAGAGCGAGATAATTTTCGAGTCTTCCTCGGAAGTAACTAGCGTAACTAGTCGTCTCGAAGTTAAACTACTTCAAATTTTACTGTTTTTATGTACTTATTATCTTGCATCGCTGCCACCAATTATAAGATTCGCAATAATGTTCTTTCAAATAAAAAAACTCTTTATTATTGATCTAGTACAAGTATTCTCTAATACACTTAAATTGTAAGATTTGCAATAATGTTTTTTCAAATAAAAAACTATTGATCTAGTACAATATTCATTTTTAGATGCGACTGGTTTTGCAGGATTCGATAGACTGCTCGTTTAGTCCAAGAGTTCTCTATTTAAAGGCTTTAGAGAAACTTCTAGAAAATTCGAGTTACTGAGTTGTTTTTATAGAAAGTCTTATTTCTATTTTTATTCTAAGGGGCCTTTGTCCATAAGTAAATGGGCAAGAGTTACAAAAAGTGGAGCATAAAAAAGGTTATATTTTTAATGCTTTGTTATGCTAAGGTTAAATTCTAAGGTTGATATGTGGACAATGGTCACACAACGTTACCAAAACCGCTAAAACTACAATCAATCGCTAAAATATCTATTGTAAGAATCTTCATGGGGAATGCCTATTACCCCTTCATGAGCGGGAGGACGTGGGGGGAAGGAGGGGCGAACGATGTAGCTCAGTCTTTTGATGAATTTGACAACTGTACTGAAAGCTTCGGTTAGATTATTATTCTGGAAGTGGGTGAAAATTTCCGAAACTAGGAGAATTAATTCCGTGACGTCTATGCCGTTGGCGCTGTCCATACCTGCCTTGCCTAAATCCGCTTGTGAGGGGATATAATCTTGGAAAACAATATCGTTATCTGATGTTCGAGGAACCCTACCGTTAACTTCATTTAAGATGCCATGATGAGCTTCTGAATAGTATTGAACCCTGGCGGGATGTACTGTATTTAGGCGCTGTGGTCGAGGGGACGATTCATTCCTTTAGAGATTGTTATTCGGCCTCTGCGAAAAAGGAGGAGAGCGAGATTTTAGTGCACTAGCGTAAATTGTATGATGTTCTTCCGGCTCTTCCCCCTCTAGAAGATTAAATCTATTAAAACCTGCGAATGTATTTCCGCTACTCTTGCTACGAGAAAGACTAGAGAAATTGTTAGCATTTGTCAAAGAAGATGATGGAAGAGACGAGGAATTGCCATCAATAATATTCCTGGCATCGGCAATAGAAATGTTCTCAGTGGCTGCCAAACTGACGATATCACGTTGCTTCCTAACTATAGGGCAGTTATAATCATTAGCCCAATGATTGCCATGACAATTAATAAACCTTGGCGTCTCCTCGCGACTACGGCAAAGATCATGTTTGTCCTCACCGCAGTACAGGCATGTACACCCTTACATGCAGTGTTAACATGATCTACCCTGCATGAATTGCACATTCTCGGTCTAGGGATGAAAGGACGAACCTCGTGTCTAACCTTGTAAATGAAGACCTCCTGAGGCGCAGCAACTGCCCTGCAAACCTGATGCAGATTGTTCTGGATGGGACGTATTCCACATTATCGCCTTTTACGCTTCTGCGGTTGAGCCTTTGTACATCGAGAATTTTAGCTTTTGGCGATTCAATACATTCTTTAAGAGTCTCCAGATCGATTTGTTGGGGAACATCCTAAATAATCCCTGTTCTAAGGACTTTGAAAGCTGGAATAAAGGCACGGAGGTTATGTTTAAGAAAAATACTTTTCGACTAACCTATTTGCTGCGATAGCTGATTTGACTACAACCAAGATCTTTTCTCTGCCAATCTTTTTAATTTCCAGGATGTCCCGGATGCCAGCCTGAGCAATGATTCTGCTAATAAGTATGAGGTGAATGGGCGGCGAAGAACTATCTCTGTTATTGGGATATATATATATTACGAAGGGTCTCAAATCTCGTGCAGCATGAGATTACTTATTAGCAGAACGCATCGCCATGAGGTTCTATCACCTGAATTTTGATCGTCTTTCGTCAAGCCATTGTTCGGCGCGATTCTGCCTTTGCGACGCAACAGATGCATTAGGCGAAGGCTCGCTTGCGCACTTCTTGGCGGGAGTTGTTTACCCGTTTTGATTGGAATTTTCTTCCAAAGTCTCCTGTATGCTTTCTGGCTTGAGATTGAAGTTCGTCAATGTCCATCGGAGACTCGTTCGAGTTGCTTTGGGCCACAGACACATGGTTTTCACTTCCAGAGGTAGGCATGCCTTTACTGTTATCTGACGCAACCAACTCAGCCGTAACTATTTTGTTACGTAGAGAAGGCGGCAGTATATACCCTGTTTCCATGTAAAGGCTTTCCAGAAAACCCTGGGATGTTTGTTCAAGATGATTGGAAGCAAAAGGGCTAGGTGGGGAAGCGTTAGAGGTTCCCGAGAAGAACCGGGATCTATGTTGAAAATTGGGGGATAAGCGCGAAAGATGTGCCGGTTACACCGCAGTCACCCTCGTCCCTCTCCCCAGAAAGCGAGGCCATGGCGCCTTAAAGATTCTAGAAGTTCGGTTTAACTAGATTATACGATTCATGAATTTACGAATGAATAAGTGGATGAATGAATGGGTGGATCGCCTTGAAAAGGGCGTATAAATAGCGCAGCACGAGCCTAATCAACACGCGATATACGTTCGGAACCGTGAGCTGGAGACACGTCCGTTACCTATCGCTGCTCAAGTCGAACTCATTTCCTACACATCGCTAACAGAAATTCACAGTGACTGGATCGCGTAAAGCATGTGTCCAGTGTTCCCGCATTCGCGCGCTTCAATCGACTCTTAGTGGTCAATCCGTATGTTGCGTGGGTACGTAGCGGTTGCTGCGCATCCGCCTTGCTCCATCAACACAAAAAGAGCGGAAAATCAAATGTACAGAGTGCTATACCGCACTATCAACTCTTGAAGAGGAGAATTATTACGGGGTATTACGCCCTTATATCCATTTGGGTTACCCCGAACGATTCAAGGGTGTTACGTAAAGTAATCGGATCCCTAAATTGGATTGAGCAGTGGTACTCAATCTGAAGACTTTAAATGTTCCTAGACCAATCCGGATTACAATCCATGCTGTCTATGAAACTCGGATTTCTGACTACTATCGTTGCGCGTTTCTTCTGAAAGGTTAATATTTTCGAAATTTCAAAATATTTTTGTGGTATTTGTTGCGACTCTTCTTTACGTGCTGCTGTTGTGGATTTTATAAGTCTATCCGGAGAAAGACGATTGTATAATAATTTTTTTAATAATAATAATTGTTATAATAATCATATAATATTTATTATATAAATATATGTTATACATATAAATAAAAAATATAAATATACATATTATAAAAATTATATAAATATTGTAAACATTAAAATTATAAAAAATATATATATACAAAATATATTTTTTATAATATTTATATTTATATTTTGGATAATTATGCTGATGAGGGGAGCCAGTCCCGATAACCTTGACCTTGATATATGTTGTCAAGGTCATGACCTTTTTTTTGTTGACGCTGGGGAAATGCATTTACGCATACCCGGACCTAACCAGAACCGGGTTATGTGGGACTCCTCCTATTTAACGGAGACTACCCACTAAAATCCTACTTGCGTTAGGATCGGCGCCCCCCAGCGGGCGTCCGATCCTAACACAAGTAGGGTCGATGCGGGATCTTCAATAATGTAGTACTACCGCATCGACCCTGCGTTGTGTACCTAACTGGTACTTCATTCCCTAGTTATAGAGCTATGACGAAGGGGGGAGGCCACCTCCCCTCCGTCCGTCCAAGTCTTTTGGACTTCTTGTTCTCACATGTCGACCTGGTTGATGTTTGGTCTCGGATTTCTAAGAGGGGATCGCGGCCATACCGCCTCCTCTTCCTCGATTATCCGGAATTCCCTCTCTTGCGCGTTCTGCGTCTTCTTTCTTGCGCATTACTTCGTCGCAGAATCTAAATACTGCGCGCCTGCTTCTTTCTTCCATCAGTGCCCTGATTATAACGGGCATCGAGAGATCGTTCCCTATTGCCGTTGTGAGTTCGGCCCTCTGTCTAGCCCATTCTGGGCAATTCCTCAATGTGTGTGAGAATGTGTCTGTTGTGGCGGTACAGTGTCAACAACGACTGGTCCTTTCGCGGCCGATTCGGTGCAAATATGCACCAAAGCATCCGTGACCCGTCAGAATTTTGGTCGTATGGAAGGGGAGATCGACCCCCACCTCCAACTATTTAACAAGTCGTGGCCGGATGGCTGCCAGCGCCTGGTCTCGTGCTGGACCCGACATCCAGTCCTTCCATTTCACGATTAGCTTGCGTCTCGCGTTCTCCCGAAAACCTCTCACGATCGATGGAGTAAGGATCTCCCCTTCCCGTCTGGCCTCTGAGACCCGCTCATGGACTTCACTGTGTACGCCGGTCATTAACTCAAGCGGGGGCATGTCTGCGAGCGCGGTGCTGACGACAAGGATATATGACGTTTTATATGCTCGTATCTTGCGACAGGCGAGTCTTCGTTGCGACGCTCTAAATGTGCGCTGGATCACTGCGTTATCCTCCGCTTCGCTGGCCCATACTGGTGCTCCGTACAGGGTGACGGATGCCACCACGTTGGCGTATAAGCGTCTGGCTGTGCTGCCCGCTCCTCCTAGATTCGGCAGTAGTCTGCTCAAGCTGACTACGATTTCTTCCATCTTGGGCGCTATATGCTGAAAGTGCGCCACAAATGTCCAACGACAATCGATGACTATGCTCAAATATTTAAATTGGGATCCTACTCTGATGTCGTGGCCCGCCACTGTAACATCAAATCCTGGGGGTCTGCCACGTCTGCAGAAGCCCGCGACCTCCATCTTCTGCGGGGCTATCTCCTAAGAACGTTATCTCGTCCACTATTGTGGCCGTGGTCTCATTGGTCATCATTAAAGTCTCCCCCCAGTTGTCCCCGGTCGTGAGAACCAGAGTATCGTCCGCGTAGTAGATCGCCTCGCAATCTGCAGGGAGATCGGCTCTCCTAAGAACCCGGTTGTAACCGAGGTTCCAGAGTAGGAGCCCCAGGATCGAGCCCTGTGGAACCCCTCGGTTCACTTTTTTCGTTGCCATCGTACCATCCTCGACTGGGTAGACGAGGCTCCGTTCGTTCAAGTAAGCCCTTAAAATTCTCCACAGATATTGCGGGACTCTGTGTTCCCACAGGGCTTCACCTATGACTCCCCACGGAAGGGAGTTAAAGGCGTTTCGTATATCCAACGACCACCCTTTCCTCTTCGATGGCCGACTCCGTGAACGTTCGGACGTGTAAAACCGCGCCGACCGTACTCCTCTCTTTCAGGAACCCAAACTGATTGGGGTGGAGGTTGGGACCTCTGCTGTCCAGGTGATGAGTCACCCGTTCTGCGATCACCCTCTCAAAAAGCTTCGTCTCATCGTCTATCAGACAAATGGGGCGATATCCGGCCGCAGTATCCGCCGGCCTTCCTCAAGAGGACGAGTTTGGCCTTTCTCCACACTTCTGGGAAAACGCCCTCTCGCAGACACTCGGAGAACATGGTTCTAATTGCTTCTCCTAATACTTCGCCAGCCATTGCCCAGGCTCTTGAGGGGATGCCGCTGAGACCCGGAGCAGCGTTTTTGCTCCTTATTCGACGGAAGGTCATGACCCTGAGTGATCTCCAACAAGTATTAGCCGTCGCTCGTCATTCGTTAAAAAGTTATTAACAGTTAAAGTTAGTAATTATTTCACTGCTTTACATGAAAAGTCAGATAACACTGGGCAGCGAGAGAGGTATGTGGTGAACTGATTAAGGGAATACGACTTTCCACCCCCCCCTCCCTTCGACTCTCATCCTCGCTCTTCCCCCGCAAAAGAGGCGTACGACTCTCACCTTCGACTCTCACTCCCGCTCCCCCCCTACAAAGGGGCGCACGACTCCCACCTTCGACTCTCACTCCCCCTTCCCCCCTACAAAGGGGCGCACGACTCTCACCTTTGACTCTCACCCCTCTCATCCCCTGCAAAGAGGTGCACAACTTTCACCCCCGACTTTTATACGCCTCTTCCCCTTTGCGAACGACTCTCAAACAGTGGGTAGGGGGAGGGTGAGAATCGAAGGTGAGAGTCGGGCGCCACTTTGCTGGGGTGAGGGGGGAGGTGAGAGTCGAAGGTGAAAGTCGTTCGCCCCTTTGCAGGGGAGAGAGAGGTGAGAGTCAAAGGTGAGAGTCGAGCGCCGCTTTGCTGGGGTGAAGGGGGGGATGAGAGTCGAAGGTGAGAGTCGGGCGCTCCTTTACAGAAGTGAGGGGGGAGTGAGAGTCGGAGGTGAGAGCCGGCGCCCCTTTGCAGGGGGGAGGGTGAATGTGAGAATCGAAAGTCAGAGTTATCTGACTTTTCATGTAAAGCAGTGAAATAATTACTAACTTTAACTGTTAATAACTTTTTAACGAATGACGAGCGACGGCTAAAACTTGTTGGAAGTCACTCAGGGTCATGACTTTGACAACATAAGTCAAAGTCAAGGTCATCGGGGCTGGCTCCCCTCAGCATAATTACCATATTTTGTATAATAATTTTTAGAATAAATTTCCTTTTTGGATTTAAAAGTACTTAAATAATATTAAAACAGCTATTTTTTTTTTAATTATAATGCATTTAATATAGTTTTTGTAATAAATTTTGGCTATATATATATATATTATAATATTGTTAAAAATCATATAAATTAATCATATTACCTTATGAAAATTACCTGTTTACATCTGTACAACGAAAAAAGAATGGATATATATTTATTATGGGATATTTTTTTAATAACAATGAAAATAATTATATTAATGAGGAAATGGCACATTTAAGAGAATGGCATCTAAAAATCAATAATTATTTTGAAAATGTTCTTTTTTATTTTTTAATAGGTAATAATAAAACTACACATACGTATTATTTTTTTGTATTTTATAAATTTATATTATTTTATATAGATTTCAAATCACACTTTCGTATTGAAAGAAATACTTTTGAGCAATTGATATCGACTTTTGGATTAGCGTTATTGATGGAAAATGATGATTCTCCTCAATTACCACCAGCTAAGCAACTTGCTATTGCTTTATGGATTTTTGACAATCAAGAAGTTTACTGGTTAGTAATTAAAATATTTTCTTTTTTAATTAAATTTATTCTCGTCGGTCTAAAATCGTATCATATTGTTTTTCAGTTTTTGTTACTGCATTGAAAATTTTATTTCAGATCTGTCGCAGATCGATCTGGAGTGTGTAAAGACACTGTATGGAGATGTGTTTTCAATGTGGCTTACATACTAGAGCAACGTGTTCAAAATTATATTAAATAGCCAAAAGTTCATGAAATATTACATATACAACAATGGTTTGCTGTTATGAATGATTTCTTAGGTGTAGTGGGCATTATTGATGGTTGTCATATTCCTATTAGTTCTCCTATTGAACATCCAGATAGTTATAGAAAACGTTTTCATTCTATAATACTGCAAGGCATTTGTGATTATAAAATGAAATTTATTGATATTTTTACGGGAATTTGTGGCAGCGTTCATGACGCCCGAGTTTGGCGGCTAAGTGATATAACAAATATAATAAATCATGATGTAGAAAGATATTTTCCACAACATGGTCACCTATTAAGTGACTCTGCGTATCCATTATCGCATTATATGCTCACTCGATATCGTGACAATGATCACTTAAATAATATACAACGTAATTATAATACAAAATTATCCAAAACTCGTGTTAGAATTGAAAGAGCGTATGCAATGTTAAAAGGACGATTTCGAAAACTGAAATACGTATATATGTACAATACGGAAATGATTCCATTAGGTATACTTGCATGTTATATTTTGCATAATATTTGTATAGATAATGAGGATGAATCATTTGATATTGTAGAAATAGAAAATGTAGAAATGGAAAATAAAAGTAATGATAACTATGTAGTTATGAAAGGTAATGAATAAAGAGACGTTATTGCACAATTATTATTTTAATCACAACTTTTTGTTTTCATAATTGAAGTA